TGAAAAAACTAGTTATATTTGCATCATTTAAAGATCAATTTTTTCTTAGATACTTTTGTTTCTATGTATTTGTCTTTTTAATTATGTACTTCTCTTTCTGACATACCCACTTAAGAACTTCTTAACCCCTAATTTTGGGAACTATTTTCACAACTTACAGAGAAGTAGTGAATTTAATATCGTTAGATTTTAAATTATTATGAAAATTATTATATAAAAATCATTTTACAAAAATTATATACAAAAATCAGGGGAGAACGAAATTTTGTTAACTAATTAAAATATTTTTTGTACTAAAAGCAAAGCAAAAATTTCATATCTTGCATAAAAAAAAGTATTGCAAAGTATTGCAATACTTTTTTATAATATTTTTTACAATATATATTTACAATATATATAATAAAAGTATTTTGCATAAAAATCCAAAACTTAAATATTATCATTACAATAGCTTCGTCTAAATGTTGACCTCTTTACGTCATATAAATCGTATTTAAATTACTTTTTTCCGTGTCCACGAGACATTAAGAGATAAACAAACCTGTTGAACCAGTTTCGACGTTCAATGTCACCTTGAACTATTATATAGCGGGGGTGGCAGATAATATCGGAAGCTTGAGCAATGAGCAGGTCTTGAATATTTGAGAATATGTGTACATACAGGCAGATGTTACGTATCCAAACAAGCATGATGGAAAATATTGGCTGATAACATAGTGATTTTAAACGCTTTTGGCGACGGAGTTTTTCAACAATTTCATACAAAGGGATCGTCCCGTTAAAATATTGAAATAAATAAATAAATAAATTTTGAAAAAGAGAAATATTTACTTTTTGTGTATAACACAAGAAAGTAGAGAATGTAACTAAAGCAGATTCATATTGTTTATCAAATAGACTATTTTATATTAATTTATTAAATAATTGATGGTTTAATAAATACTCGTGTTAAATAATTAACTATTTAACAAATGGATTCTTGATGTGTTTAAATGTTCATATTCATGCACGCTATTTTTTTCAATAATGTCAATAATTTTTTAAATTCATTTTTGTCAAATTTTAAGAGGTACACCGTTCAAATAATTAATTATTTAACAAACAAATATTCG